AGGGTCGGACCACCCCCCTGGTCTGCTCTAAGGCCCGGCTTGGCTTCCGTGCGCACCAAGGGGGTGGTGCCTGGTGCCCATGTGGTCCTGCTGGGCGCCATGGCTGCGGCCACCGTCTGGGGCTGTGGCGAGGAGGAGGAATTCCAGGGGGTGAGGGTGGAGGGCTCGGGCTCCGCGGACCCTGTGGCGTTGCCTTTGAAGACCTGAGAGGCTCTCACCCCCTGGTGCTTCTGCCCCAGGTGCGCGGAGCTCTGATTCCTGCCCCTCGGGCCTTCCTTTCTTCCCGAGGGGCCCCCGAGTGCGGGCAGGGTGACAGTGAGCCAGGAGTCACTGTGGCTGGAGCTGTCGTGGGAGTCACCGCGAGGGCGCAGAGAAGGCACTGGGGCAGGTTGTGGGCTGGCGGGGGCGCTGCACCAGGTGGCCCACCACGTGCCTCACCCAGGGAAGGGGTGGGGGAGGCGGGGGATGCAGGCCATGGCTTCTGTGGGTGGGTCGAGGACGGGGCAGGGGCCTGGGAGTTGCCATCAGTGTGACAGTGAGCCCGCTGTCACACAGCCCTGCAGCAGCCCAGCCACTGACAGCTTCCCTTTGCTCAGTGAGGAAAGGGCGGGCCGTCAGCCGCGTTGGCACAGGCCCTGTGTGGGACCGGAGGGGGGAGCGGCCGGCGGGGAGGGGTGGCCAGCGCTCTGGCATGAGTTAGTGGCAGGACTTGGGGCAAGTCATGCAGCCCCTTGTTTGTAAGGCAGAGAGAACTGCACCCCAAACTGTTCTGCGACCCTTTCGGTTCTTTACAAGGAACAGAGCCTCAGGGATGGGAAGAAAGGCCGGGTTCTGCCCCCGCTTTTGGCGTGGGTCTTAGGGTTACTGTTTCAGAGTGAACTGTATCCTGTGGAGACATTCCAGCCATGTGCCCAGCTCGCTCGGCAATGACACCGAGTCTCAGCTGGAAGCTCCTGCCCATCTGCCTTCCCAGAGGCTGTGCTGCTCCCGCCCTCCCCGGAGGACACGTGGCCGTGGCCGTGGCCGTGGCTGCAGGAAGGGGCCCTGTGCTCAGGGGGCCGTCAGCATGGCGGGCGGTTGCCGTGGCCATCGTGGTGGAGGCGGTGTTTGCAGGAGGGTGTCCCTCTGGATAGGGTGTTGCTGCTGCCACGGTGGCTTCGGCCTGTGAGAAGGGCCCATCAGGACGGGGGCTCAAGGTCATGCTGGAGGGGGCGGCCACCAGGGCGGAGCGACTGGTGGAGCTGAGCGGTGGGGTCACCATGGTGCCGGGAGGCAGGACCTGAAGAGAGTTCCTGGGAGATGGTTCCTGGGCAGCAAACGCCAGAGCTTCGGTCAGCGCCAAGGTCAGGAAGAAGCCTTGAGGGAGACAGAGGGCAGAGGTGAGGTGCCGGGAGAGGCTGGGGGCCCGGGCCTTCCTAACCTGAGAACCTGTGACCCCGGAACTAAGCACCCGAGCATCCCCGAGGTCCAGCTGGAGACAGCCGGCCTGCCCCGCCCAGGAGCGGCCTTGAGCCTGATCCCGACCTGTGAACTCCTGCTTGTTCCCATGAGCCCCTGGGTCCCTCTCGCCCTTCCTTCAGCCCTGCTGGCCGCCCAGCAATGGCGGAGCAGAAACCATTTCCATCTGGCCACTCTCTCAGGGCCCCTCCCCCACATTCCAGCAGGGCTGATGGCCAGCTCCTGGGACAGTCAGCAGAGCTGCTGACAGGGAAGGCAGGGGCCTGGTGAGCTTCCGGGGAGCCAGGAGGGGAGATCACTTCCTGGCAGGCCTTTGACATGAGGCCCAGGACCACCCTGGGGCCACCTCCAACTTAGGTGGAGTGCGGGGTCTCGGAGGGGACCAGTGTCCTCCTCACCCTGCACTTCACTTCTCAGTGAGGGGCCAGGGGAGGCTGAGGACTGTAGCTCCAATAGAGACTGTAGCTCCCATGATCTCTAGGAACAATCTGCCCTAAACAACCTATTTTTCCCAAACGTTCATTCGTGACGTAGCCCAGACATCCAGCTCTGCTTGTTCAAGTCAGTCCTGAAAACTGGTTACCGAGCAGCTACCCCACCCCCACCTTTCACGCGTGATTCAGTCCTCAACCACCCGCTGGGGTAGAAGAGATTAAGGAACACGTTCGAGGTCCCACAGTATCAGAAGTATTTGAAACAGGGCTGGATCCCACATGCATGTTTTTCCTGGTTAAACAGCACCAATGGCACAGGAGGAGGAAGAAGGAGACGGGACCTGCATCCACAGAGGAACGTACTGCTGTGCTCCGACCAGTTCAGGCTCAGTCCGCCTCCCCCCTGCAGCTTAAACCACAGGGGCGATCTAAGAACCGGTATCGAGGCCTCTGATGTTCTGTATGAGGCACATTCCATTATGAGCCCCTGCTTGGCTCCTGAGGGCCTTGGTTCAATATAAGTGTTGTTATGAACTGAATTGTGCCCCCCTAAGTCCCCCAGTACCTCAGAGTGTGAGTGTTTGGAGACGGAGCCTTTAGAGAGGTGACTGGGACACAATGAAACCACAGAGTGGGCTCTTATCCAGTCTGACTGGTGTCCTGACAAGAGGAGATGAGGACACAGAGAGCAGCATCAGGGATGCTGAATTCCTGTGCAGAGGAAAGGCCCGAGGGGACGCAGTGAGGGGGCAGCCTCGGCAAGCCAAGGACGGAGGTCTTATTAGAATCCAATACTGTCAGCATCGTGACCTTGGCCCTCAGCCTCCAGAACTGCGAGAAAGCACATTTCTGTTGTTCAAGCCCCTAGTCAGTGGTACTTGGTTATGGCAGCCCAAGTAAGTGTCTTATATTAGAGACCCCCCCGCCCCCCCAAAAAAAGAGAGGTGGAGGCAGGGGCTTGTGTGTAGGTAGTTCATTTTGGGAAGTGATCAGCCATGGGGTCTGATCTGAGGTGAGTGAGACGGGGAAAATCAATCTGAGGGCAAGGTATGAGCTGATTAGAGAGGGCAACTCACATTCGCTGGGACCTGGGAGGAGCTGAGTAGATGCCCCTCGAATTGTCCAGGTAAGATCACACCCTGCAGCTCCCATCCCCACTGGCCCACGCGGCTCCACGGGGGCTTGGTCCACTGCACTTCCTTGCTCCTGCACCGCCCATGGGCGAGTCAGAGAGGGCCTGTCTAGTCCCACCTGGGCCCAGCTGCTGGCTGCCACAACAGCTGGAGTTAAACTGAAGGGCTCAGAAGATTCCTGGGGTGGAGGCCAAGGACACAATGGTCTGTGGCAACAGAAAGGGCAGTGCCAAGCTTTCAGAGAGCCCCCAACTGACCCCAGTGACACGCCTGGGTGGGACTGGAACCACTCTGGCTGCCAGAACTGCTGCAGCGCTATGGAGGCAGAGGGGTTAAAGCATCCTGGTCTTTATAACACTCAGGAAAGAAATTCCCCAGGCTTTCCCACCAGGAATGTTCCAGGGGCTAAAATCCTCCCAGCTGGAAAGATATGACTGGAACCCTGCTTGTGTCAGTCTCACAGTGTCAGAAAATCTTTTGCCTCTGCATGCTCTAAAGTCAGTTTTCTCTAGAAGGATTGTTCAGTGACCTCTTAGCCATTTCTTCTTTGGATGCAGAGTGAACCTCTGGTACAATGAGTGGATACTGCCATCCTGGCTGCAAAGGGTTTTCACCCAGAGGGAGACATGTAGCTGTCACAGTGCAAGGGGCCCGGGAAGTAACTTAATGCAATGCCCTCATTTCCCAGAGCAGGGAGGGAAGTGACTCGTCCAAGAACACACAGCTGGTGGGGGACAGAGTCTGGATCTTAGCTATTATTTCAAAGCAACTTTCCATTTGCATCATAAAAACTGCTACAATGTCACAGTGCCCAAACACCTCCAGCCTCCACTGTCACTTTCAGCATGGAAATCAGACCCGAGTTTACCTCTCCTCCTGGGCACCAAAGGTTAACCCCTGAAGGCGAAGGGCAGCATACTGTCACAATAGCTGTGCAAGGCCTTCCTCTCAGCAGATGCAAATTTTCACCCAAAGCCCTTTGTTCTGGCCTGCTCACTCTGCTCCCCACCTTTGGGGCTCCGGGCCTCTCTGCATATCATTTGCATTGTTTTGCATAATGGCCCCTGAGGTACTAATTCCAAATATATAAGAGAGACTAAACCTAAAATCTAGCTGGACGTGCTTTAAATGTGGACCCGATTTTCATAGCATATCGGGATAAGGACGAGTGTGTGCGGGGTGGAAACCCACAGATTGATGGGAGCCCAGATGTGCACGCAGGCCACCTCCTACCTAGAATTCCAATACATCCATGATCCCAGGACCCAGGGGGAAGAAAAGGCCCTGCTCCTTCTGTTTGTTTGGTCGGGTGCCCACTGTCCATATTGGGCATGACATTTGCATCTGGCAAAGGCGAGGAGGGAATTGGTGAAGAGAGCACAGGCTAAAATGAACGGAGTGCTTCCTACCCGTCACGTGCTGCTCGCAGGGCTAGGCCTGTCCTGACACAGTCCTCACAACCACCCAGTGAGGCAGCCGCTATTAGCTCCCTGATGTGCCCGAGGAAAAGCACAGAGAGGTGCAGGACCAGCCCTCTCACTCGGCTGGGGAATGTTGGGCTGAGATTTGAACCTGGCTGCCTGGCTCTAGGGTCTATAGTCTCAACTTTCTCTCAATGCCCACCCCGCGGGCTGCTCTGTACAATCAAATGCAATGACCCACAATCTTTTGGGAACCGATTTTCTATCATCGGTCTTTGGACTCTCCTTCCCTCTTACCTGCATTCTTCTTTCTCCACTTCAGGACTCTATAGGACACACTGGGTGTTCTTTGAACAATCCAGCCAATTAACTTTATTTCGCAACTAACGGGGGTGGGAGGAGGGGACTTGGAGTAGTACAGTAAGCGGGCTGGAAATCCCTGCTCTAATTTTCTCCTCTTCCCCGAGCCTGGTATCCCACTGCTTAATTAATTAACTTAGGTAAAAATTTTCTCTTAAACTTGCTTACTCACACATACAAGACACATGGATACATTTCCCCTTACACATAAAAACAGAGTTTTAGCTCACTTTCCTTGTAATGTAAAACATGTTCTTCTAAGTAGAGCATCCCTCCCCATTAAACTAGGTTTCTACTGCCAACGATTTCTCCTCTGCCTCTAGACCCCACGGCACCATCGAAGGTGTCTGAGAAGCCTTCTAAGCCACCCACCCCCATCGGTAAGCAGCAGGCAGCTTGGCCCTCCCCAATGTGTGGTATTTGCAAGTTCTTGGCACTCCTCTCACCAGGAGGTGGAGTCTGCCTCCCTCCCGTTGAACCTCGTGGACCAGTGTGACCCCCTCAATGAGCAGAACGGAGCAGAAGTGACACCACATGAGTCCGAGGCCAGAGTAGAATGGGTCACACAGCTTCTGCAGGTTTCTCTTGGGGGCCTCAGCCCCATGTAGGGGCTGCCGTGTGGAGGGAGTGGAAAGACCATGTGGAGAGTGAGAGGGGGCTCAGCTGCCCCAGCCCCAGCCAGGCCTCAGACATCAGCGTGAAGAGCCGAGTATGACCCTGGCCCAGAACTGCTGGATGGCAACCGCACAACAGGCCCTAAGTGGGAGCCCCCAGCTGAGCCCAGTCAACCCTAACATTTGTGAATGAAATAGCTTACTCCTGCCCTAACCGGTTTGGCTCAGTGGATAGAGCGTCAGCCTGCGGACTGAAGGGTCCCAGGTTTGATTCCGGTCAAGGGCATGTACCTTGGTTGTGGGCACATCCCCAGTAGGGGCTGTGCAGGAGGCAGCTGATCGATGTTTCTCTCTCATCGATGTTTCTAACTCTCTATCCCTCTCCCTTCCCGCTGTAAAAAAATCAATAAAATATATATTTTTAAAAATAGCTTACTCCTTTCAGCCACTGTTTTGGGGTGGTTTGTTGGCAGCCACAGATAACGAGACACGTGGAAATTTAGCTTCTACATCTGAAGTTTCAACAACACTAGGAAAGAGTATCCACAGCACACCGAGTCTGACCCTCAGGGAGCCTGCCTCCTACAGGGCAGTAATGTACAATCTTGCTGGGAAACAAGCTTTTCTAATTTCAAGAGGATCGTCTTATGATTGGAAGGGACTTTTAATTAGGACTCTCTGATATCTAACTCTCTCACCTTATGGACGAGAAGGCTGAAGCCCAACACAATGAATCAACTTGCCCTGGCCCAGGCCAGCTCTACGGGGTTAGGGCTGCGAGGGACCTGGGCCAGCTCACTGCCTCCCAATCCCACTAACACCCTGCACTTACAGTGCTCTCCTTCCATCACTGTGACCCCAGTATTCCAGGGGCTCTGAACTTCAATGTCCCCTTTCATTTTAAAGACCGAACATAAATTCATTCCTCGGAGCAGT